AGTATAGAACTACATATGCAAAAACGGACCAGCATTGCTTTTAGAAAAACACGAAAATTTTCGTTTCCTCAGTTTCCAGTTAAGCAAAAAATACGGCAATCGCACATATGGATATCAGATATCGATAGTATTAATGTGAGCGAGTGGGAGGTCCGTAGAAATTATTTGGACGAAGATCTGATTTTTTTCGATTTTTTGGGCATTTGGAAATCTTTAGATTTTGAGTTCGAACTCTCCATGGATCGAGCATGGCGCAAAGACATGAGTGCCTTCTTGTAGAGCTTGCTTTGCTCTATCGAACAGAACCCCTTACCCTTTGTTGGGTTCAGTCTGGTTGCTTTGTTGAAGCAAGCGAATAAAAACGTGCATTAATTATGAGACAACCTAATATTTTACCTCTAGAAAACATTTTCTTGCTCTTTGTAACACATATCATCTTAGTAAAACCTCATTCCGAGAGATTGCAGGCCTACGATCTCGAGATGGTTGAGACAAGTTCTCAGCTGAAAAAAAAAAGTTCTTGGGAGAAAATCTCCACAATATGCTCTCCAAGTCAAGTTTTTGCGTCAGTCACGGAATAAGGGTGAAACAGTTCAGTATTTGAATGAACTCACTTTCTATGAACAAAGGTAGTCGGTGAATCTAATGTTGGAGTGCTAGAGTAAAGCAAGTCTAGCAGAGCCCAGCCAGTTGCTTTCCACCCCTCGCGGCAAGTGTATATTTTTATAATTTGAAGGCTGGCATACACACATGTACTAAAATGAGGTGAAAAACGGCTTCTCTTTTATCCGGTCAAAAAAATTTCTCGGTACCGAAGATCCGATGAGCACTTTTATGCTGTAAAATAGTCTACGAAATTTTCTCTATCTACCCATGGCTGCCTAATATGTTTGTCAGTTCTTATAGGGGAGCATTGCCGCGTCAAAGAAGACAGGTTGAAAGAAGAACGCTGTAAAGTTTTCTGAGTTTGAGAGTGCTTTTTCTTTGACAGGGCTTTTCGCAAGAGCTAGTATTCTGACAGCTAAAGAACTGCTCAACACTTAGAAGCAAGGATTATGGAAAAAAGTTGATTTTGAAAAAATTTATGGTGTTTTGAATTCGAGATTTCAAATTGGACAGAACTTATGCGGCAGCATGATAAATAGTAGGATTGCCGAGAAAAACATTTCCGTGTACAGCTCTAAAAGTAACATTTAAAAAATTCGCTTCGTAGATTCTTCATTTGCACGGGTTCTAAAAGGCAACTTTAGCACAAAACGACTTCAAGGACTGCTAAAGTAAATAAAAAAGGAAAAGAAGAAATCTTAGACAATGAGGTTAGCTCAGAGTCGCCGTCCAAAAATTAATAGCTGTGCAACTGTAGTAGGCAACAATAAATTTGAAGAGACAACAAAATTTTGCGAAAAGCAATCCTGTTGGCTGGAAATAGCTTTACAATAGAAACCGGCATGAAATACCAATGATTTTTAACATTAGTGAGAAAGAAGTTGCATCACTCTGGAATGCTAACACAGCAATTTCAATAATTTTCAATGCGCAATTTCAATGCGACCCATCCCTGGGAGGGGGGGGGGGGGGCTCGGTCCGCCACCGATATTTATATTCATGTATACAAACTATAACGATTAATCACTCACTTTGCAGAGGATTGGAAGGCATGTATGCTTTTTGAACATGACATATGTCTTGTTTTATCATATATACAGTGCTGGACATAATTATAGAGACACTCTAAAAATCGTCGTAATTTTCGTTCTTGTCAGTGGTTCATGAAGTGATGGACTCGATTTATTACGTTGTCTGCAAGATGCATCTTTTGCAACAACTTTTAGATTTTTTCTAGTGCTGCAGTTGCCATTTAGATCTGAAATACTTTCAACGAAAATTCTATGCGAGCAGTAGATTCAACATAATCACAAATCTCACTATTTTATTCTCTGTTTCATGTCGCATTTGCACGATAGCTGAGATTAGCAAGATTTTGAAGCTTCAAGTGGTCTCCTGTTCGATTTCTTGATTTGAGTTGGATATGATTGTGCAGGGTGCTCGACTCAACTCTCAACGGATGACAACTGCGGCTGAACCAGAATGTGCAACCCCGAAATTTTTTCCTGACTAGGCACACAAGTTTATTGTTGTACGTGTATTGTTGCGGCTACATTGCAGCGTTTTCCGTAACTTGAAAATCGAGTTTTGTGGTGCAAAAGCGCGACAACCCTATGGTGAGGTTGGAGTCTGTCCGTCAAAATCAGCGATTACGCAGAGTTTACGAAAGCGCTCTCCACCTCATCTATCCAGAAGGATCAATAGACTCCATGATTATCATTGGAAATGAACAAGGGCTTGAAAACTCTTTAAATCAGTTGTTTATTGAAGCAGTTTGACTTCTGATGCCTTTGGAAACGGAAAATGCAAGGATCATCTTTCCTCGAGTAGCATGATAGGTCCTAGGTGCTGCAAAAGTTTCATATCCTGGGATGTAACTCTACAAAAAAAGCTTGGGAATCAAGGAATGCGATAATGTTTAAAAAGACCAGGTGTCTTTATAATTATGTCCAGCTTGCGAAAACAGGCTTTTTCGAATTTTTCCACTTTTCTCCGTTCGAAAGCAACAGGGTTGGAAGCCGTTTTGAGGAATTATGGTAGGCTTACATGCGCACCATACTGCAAGGTTTCAGACAGATTCACTGACAAGAACGAAAATTACGACGATTTTTAGAGTGTCTCTATAATTATGTCCAGCACTGTATAATGCCTATATGTCTGTGCTTGCTAATTACGAATATATTAGGTTGTCCCGAAAGTTTTGTCGGTTTTTTTCATCGCTCATTAAAACTCACAGAACACTAGTCCATAAACGGTCTAGGTACCATTTGATTTAGACTTTCATCCTCTTTCTTACAACTGTATTTGCTCTCTGAGCTATCCTGTCTTTGCAATGTTATCGCCATGGCTTTTTGAACAGCTCAACAGTAACTTCAAACATTTCCTGAATTTTAAAAAATTCTATACTGACACTTCTAAGGAGCGCTGGTAACTGTTATGTAGAGGAAGCCTTTGGCTACATTGTGTTTATTTTAGATTACATGGGCCATGTTTACCAGGTCCGTTATAATTATTTATTTAATAAAAACCGCTGCTTTTTGATTACGTTTACCACGTAAAAGTACCGAAAATTCCAAAAAGCTGCTTTTTTGAAGCAAGCCAAACTGGGTAATGTTGCATAAATAATGTTTAATATGAATCATGTTTCAATTCCCAGAAACTTTGAAAGCTTTCATGTATTTGCTGCAGTTGCGCGTTTCATGACTTTGCCAAAAATCGACACCTCCAAAGAAATAATTTTTTAATGCGAAAACCAGCAGATTAGTAGAATCTAAAAGTACTATCTTGTAGTCCGAAAATTGCTCTATTAAATCCTTACCTAACTCTTTCCGAAAATTTGAAATGAAATTTTCAAAAATTAGCCGAACTTTGAGCAGACAAAAATGACGGGTGGAGAATTTCAGCAATTATCAAAGAAAGCATGCAGGATTGTGGTTCGGAAATGTAACCACAAGAAAGAGAAGGAAAAGCTGCATCGAATACATTCTAGAGCTCATTCAGATCTTCATTGTGCGTGGTCTTATAGTGGTCTGAAAAAACCGACAAAACTTTCGGGACGACCTAATATATTATTTTTCAAACCTATTTACTTCTGTCGATTTGATCGATTTTTTGCAAAGCTCGGCCTACGGAGTGGTACTTGGCAAAGTGGGGTAGCATGCTGATTACGAATATTTTTCTCAAAATTATCAAATACTTCTGATTTTATTGCTTTATTGCAAAGTTCGTGCTACGGGACTGGAAGGCACAGGGGGCCCGTGAGCATGCTGAATATTAACACAGCGGGAATAGGGAATTGGTAGAATGTAGAAGGGGGAATAGGAAAAGTTTGCATAAGGATAGGAATGGACCTTTATTACAGTGTTTTGGCAGGGCCGAGCGGAGCCGGGAGAGCCTGCTAGTGGCTTATACACGCCAAAGTACAAACAGTAACTACAGTAACTACTAACTCTCTCTACAGTAACTTGTGCTGGTGGGCTCAGCACAAGTTACTGTAGAGAGACGTTCTCGGCATGGACAATTCAAGAAGAGAAGGTGAAGTGAGACTACAACAATCGAGTCGATTCCTTCAAGTCCCAATGGCGAAGCACACCATTTATAAAGCTGAATGCGCGTCTGCGTGGGAGTTGAATTTTAGACAAGAGAACAGAAAAGTACCACAGCCGAATGCTCCGTGGACAACATGGGAAGAGGAGGAGGGGCAAAATTGTGAAGCAGCGAGCGAAAAGTGGAGGTGCAGACGAGTAAAGCAGACAGCAAACACGACAGGGGTTTGGCTTACACTGGAGACAGCGGATTCTTGGCAAACTCCAACAAAATCACAGATCATTATGTTTATAATAGGATTACTGCAAGAGCTGACAACGTCACCGTAATCGAAATGACTTCGACATATATTGGCACATTTTTGTGTGCGGCTCCTTGCGCAAATTTTTCGCTCTTCTGGTCATTGACCAAATCATTTTTTTTTTGGGTTTCTGAACTCGTGCCTAAATCCACAACTATGAGAAACGATGTTATTAGAAAGCTTTTTGAGAAACATTCTTGATGAGAACAGACTAAGCCCATTTTTTGTATTTCCTTAGTTACCAATTTGATACACAAGTTACCGCATCGATTCACTTTCATTTTTGATGTAGGTGTGAGCTTAACATCTAGGCTTTTTAGAACAAGTGTTTTGTAGGGTCAGTTCTTGTGGATTTCTTTGGCGTCTCGTTTAGAAATCATACAAACGGAAGTTCAAAGAACGAGACTTAGGGTGTAAAATAGGTCAAGGCAGTGTATGCCGCCGTCATTATATTACGACAAGCAATTTGAAGAAGTTTGGATGGTTTAAAATCTACTCATTACGTAGGAAGATTTTTATTGCTTTCTCATACTCGTTTTACAAGCCTTCAACGTGCCTCTACGACTACAACCCATCCGTCATCTTCGTCTGTCGAGACTATTGTATTTGCTGCTTGTGGAGTAGCTAAAAAAAACTCAATATTATTGAAAAAAGATTCCACTCAATCACTTTTGATTATAGCATTAGTGGTAGTAGCGGGATCCTGATCACAAAGTCCGTAGGTTGTATCGCAATTCACATCTGTTCCTTTGATAACTTTCTTGCAGGGTCCAGGTTTTTGACATCCAGCATTATTTTTCGAATCTGCCCAGTAAAGCGGTTCACCTTCCGTTGGCCTACAAATCTCAATTTCTATGTATGTGTACATATGTAGTATTTGCTTTGTATCGTTTATCCTTGTTTTATGTTGTGTTTTCATCCCTAGTATCTTGTTATGTTGGATTCAAACTCTTTCCCACGAATTTCCCGCCTGTTCTCATAGAGCTCTCCTAGGTGCCTGGTACCGAGTGGTACGTTCTTGGAGGCATGTGTATATATATAGGTACCGTAGCCATTGGATTCATTCGCTATTCTGATCAGCTAATAAACTACTGAGTATTCCACTGCGTCCGGTTCGACCCATCAAGACAAGGACTACAACAATGTAATATGCTACAATAAGAGCAGATGGCAGGCGAGACGAGGCGTGAGCTTACGCTAAGAAATTGAAAAATATCTCACGATTTTGATGAGCGATATCCCGAGCTTTTATTCCTTGACTCGAAGTCAATTGCTTACCTTTTATCGTACACGCACGCAAGAGCAACTTTGCTCGTTTCGTTACAGAATAGAAATGAGCAGCCAAAATTCAGCGTCTTGTTGTAGATCATCTATGAATGTAGAAAAATCGCACTTTGATTTGCAATGAATAACGGAAGGCAGCAAAAGCTCACATTAGCAAATGGTTCCATGGAGGTGTCAGTATACACCACGTCTGAGCTCAAAGGTTCTTCTACCGTATCCGTCCAGTCTTCCACAGAGTAGTACAAAAGTCTAGAGTGCCAGTCAATTTTATGTTTCTACCACCACCGTCGTTGAAGCAAATTCTAACGTGCACACGATGAAAGGAAGTGCGTATACAACCAATGTTCGTACTGCGTGCAGAAACCCACTTGTCATTTACCTGATACTGTATACACGATTACGTGTGAAGATGTGGAGAACAGTATATTGGCGAAATCAGAAGGCCATTGCGACTCCGTCTCAACGAACACAGAAGAGCATTTATTCAGCCTGCTTCTTATCCTAACAAAAGCTCTCAAAGCACAGGACTTCGATGTCCCAAACTTTAAGATAACAGTCTTACATCGCAATAAAGTAAACACTCTGGAGAGAAAGATTATGGAGGCTTATGGAATTAGGAAACACCAGCCGAAATCTAAAAAAAGAGAAATGGATAAATCCTTCATACTGATTTGTTGGTCAACAAGCCCATAAAAGGAGAATACATTTCATTCATTACTAACAGCACTGTACCACGCGGACGTCTACTCCTGCAACTTAGCGAGCTTTATCCGCTCCCCTTACCTCCCTCATGAGGTATGACTGCGCTCTGTTTACGTTTCTCTCTTCTTAGCATTGCACATACTGTAACCTAAGGTCTGATGATGGTTTCATGAGAACCCGAAACGTCACCAATAAAGATACAAAGAGCTTTTCATCGACAATTTACTATCGAAAATGCAACATAACTTTTGAGTATGCAAAGAATGTAATTAATCAAACAGCAAGTTCATTCTCGTATGTAGTTACCATAATTTCTATTTTCTTTAAGAGAAATGTCGTGAATTAGATTTTAGCATGTCAATAGCGCTTCAAAAAAGGAAGCAGATAGATAACAGCGGAAGAAAGAGTGTGAGAATGGGCTCATAATATACATTATCATAGTCCTTGTGTACTCGAAAGGTATATATGCCTCGTGTTATTGCCAGAAGTCACACTTGTTTTCTTCCTTTTGATATTTTCCGTTTGACTCACATAATTATCAAAAGGCATAGGAAATTTTTACACTTTACAATCCCAGGAGGTTCCAATTTGTGTTTGATTAGGAGACAGTGCAGTTTAGTTTGTATATTTTATGATTTTTAACCTCTATATAAGATTTGCTTTCTTTAGGTCCAAGACTGGGTAGCACGATGATGTTGCTGCTGGTAATATTTCAGACATAAATAATTTCCCGATTTAGACCATGATTTCAGATATTGGCAGTCTTTCTGCACATAGAAGATGCGGGTAAGAATCCAGGGTATCGAAATTAGGATTTTGACTTTTGACGGGCTTCTTATTTCCCACTGGGAAATGAAGAAAGTAAGCGTATTGTCGATTTCAGCGACCGCCACCTGCAAACTCAATGCAGCCGTGATTGAGGCTGTCACAAACTCTCACAATGAGCTCAGAGCAAACGTTGCCAAGCGCAACCTGAGCACTGCAATTTTTGGAGACATACCTGGATCAAAAACTCTTTTCAAGCTGGTAAGTGTGAATAAGCATGAAAATTTGAGTGAAAGACATGCCTAGACCATGTTGCATATGATTAATTCCTGCTGCTCAGCTGTCTTTCGGCATTATTTAGTTAACAACACAGAAGTCGCACCTTGAAATTTAGTGCACTCCTTGCAGAAGTATGATTGTGCAAACGAAGGATTTGCACAGGCCACCATTGGAAACAAATGCAAGCATTCCAGCATCTACATGGACAAAATTGGAAGAGCCGAGAACTTTATTACGTATGGCGTCAACAAGAGCTGAGCAAGACAAAATGTGACTACCCTTTTACAGATATAGACTGGCTAAGAAACCAAATGCGAGTAAACAAAAGGAACTTTTTGCTTTTGCGGTGGAAGACTGGACGGATACGGTAGAAGAACCTTTGAGCTCAGACGTGGTGTATACTGACACCTCCATGAAACCATTTGCTAATGTGAGCTTTTGCTGCTTTCCGTTATCCATTGCAAATCAAAGTTTGCTTTTTCTACATTCATAGATGATCTACAACAAGACGCTGAATTTTGGCTGCTCATTTCTATTCTGTAACGAAACGAGCAAAGTTGCTCTTGCGTGCGTGTACGATAAAAGGTAAGCAATTGACTTCGAGTCAAGGAATAAAAGCTCGGGATATCGCTCATCAAAATCGTGAGATATTTTTCAATTTCTTAGCGTAAGCTCACGCCTCGTCTCGCCTGCCATCTGCTCTTATTGTAGCATATTACTGTTGCTGTTGCCGTATTTTTTTTCTCTGTTAGAAATCAAGAAAACGGAAAATTTCGTGCATTTGCCAAAGTGATTGTATACTACAAATCTGTAGAAGCACAAACACAAATTTTTAGCTCTATACAAGCTTTAGTTCTCGAGAAATATCAAATACAGTTTTTCCTAGTCATGTGGTCCAAGCTAAAATTCAAATTTCTCGAGAACTAAAGCTTGTAGAGAGCTGAAAAATTACGTTTGTAATTCTACAGGTTTGTAGTATACAACTGCTTATGTGGGAACGGCACAGCATCACTTTGGCAAATGCACGAGAATTTCCGTTTTCTTATCTAACAGAGAAAAAAATACGGCAACAGCGCATATAGATGCCCTATGTGGATCGTATTTGAGTGAGCAAGTTAGAATTTTTGTAGGGTTCTTATGCACTGAGTTACGATTTTTCACAATTTTTTGGGCAATTAAATCTTTCTAGTTTTTGGCTGAAACTTGTGGTGGATCAGAGCTGTTGCTAAAGTAAGATAGCCATCTTGTAGAGCTTGCTTTGCTCTATCGAATGGTGTCCTGCAACCTACTTAAAAATGAAAAGTGTATGACTTATTGCGTTTGAAATTCAAAACCTGCATTAATTTCCGGACAACCTAATACAATGGTAACAAAGCCTGCACTTGAGCACTCCCATTATAAAGTCTCACCCACCCTTCACCCTGCACTTTTTCTGACAGACCCCAGGCAAACTATATATTTTCTGAAAGCGGAGGACGAGGCGGTTCTAATGGTGACCATCGAGGCGTACAAGGTGTTCACTTACAGAAGCTATGAATTTTTTTTACGTTAAAAACACGAAAATTTCCAGAAATCACTACCCACACTCTTCTCCAAGCACTTTTTCAACAGACTCCCCAGCACTTTCTATCTTTCGATTACGGTGACGTTGTCAGCTCTTGCAGTAATCCTACTATAAACATAATGATCTGTGATTTTGTTGGAGTTTGCCAAGAATCCGCTGTCTCCAGTGTAAGCCAAACCTCTGTCGTGTTTGCTGTCTGCTTTGCTCGTCTGCACCTCCACTTCTCGCTCGCTGCTTCACAACTTTGCCGCTCCTCCTCCCAGGTTTTTCACGGAGCATCCGGCTGCACTTTTCTGTTCTCTTGTTCAAAATTCAACTCCCACGCAGACGCGCATTCAGCTTTATAAATGGTGTGCTTCGCCATTGGGACTTGAAGGAATCGACTCGATTGTTGTAGTCTCACTTCACCTTTTCTTTTTGAATTGTCCATGCCGACAACGTGCTGAGCTCACCAGCACAAGTTACTGTAGAGGGACCCCGCGTTCAATCCACAATAGCCGCTCCACCCAACTTACGCTCCAACCGGTCACTGTATTTTGATATGGTCTTATATTTGTATAAAACGATTTTCAAGGCAAAGGAAATAAAAAACAATAATGGTCGCATGCATCCACTTCTCCGCTGGGGAAGGAATCGCAGCTTAGAAGAAAGCTTCATGTTTCAACAATCTGGACATCTAGATTTTACTGTGTCTATCCATCTGCAAGTGTTCCTAGTACCCTTTGCTATAAACATAACAGATGGGATCGAGAAGTTACTAAGCCTACTTTCCAGCTTTTACATGGTCCCCTGATGCACTCAAACGCATTCTTTTAAGATCGTTCTTTTTCCAAAGTTAAGAAATCATCGTTGTATCGGTTACCTATCCCATCAGTGCCAAACATGTATGATAAGAACAAACGAATTATTGGAACATCAGGTTTTCCGATAGACTCCAATTTTCAATTTGTGGTTCAATTTGTCGTTCACCTTGCTGTACCGATTACCTAACACTGTTGTGTTAGGTAATCGGTATAACTCTGAAATGTTTTCAGTGACTTCGTACAAAAGAAAAAAAGACTTTGGAGAAAATACGCCCCCCCCCCTCGAGGATCACCAGGTAATCCATAGAAAAAATTTGGAAAGAACGGCTTCTACGACTTCTTAATCCCGCTCATTATGTTTATTGCAGAGCCTAGTAGAAACACTTGAGAATGGACAGACGGTATGAGATCAGAGCTCCGCAGCTTCAAAATGCTTTCTTCAAAGCTGCGATCCTTTCCATCCCAGCGGGAATGTTAATGCATGCGGCCTTAAATGAAGGTACCTAATCTTTGTACACTTCCCGTCTCCTTACAAATACTTTTGGGCATTCAAGCGTCAGAGGAAACATTTCTGGGTCAAATTCCTGAATTGACAGCAATTTCTTATAAGTGATGGTACTCATCGCGTTGGCAAGTTAAAAGATTCTAGATCAATTGCGTGCGTGATTGGCCAAAATTCACAAGCTGAGTTTGTGCGGTCTGGATTAGCTATATTATAGATCTCGCGCAAGTCACTGTTAAAGCGCAATCTGGTCATGTCGTGACCAATGTCTCCAGCGATGATCTCAAGATTTCCGTCCGGGTGGGGAGGGGGCAGAATTTTTCTAAAAGGAGCTGGATGGCGCTAGCCACGCGCGCCATTGAATATCACTACATCTTACAATCACTATATGAGATCATTAAAGTTTTGACTTGAAGAACATTACTCGAAATTATGTGCAGGCTACTGCATGACGAACGCGCAATATCTTTTTGGCGCGAACGCGGCTTTATTAGCCGCAGAGCGCATGAGGTGCGGAACCTACAACGGTGAAGATACGCGCGCGTCGCGTTCGCGCACGCTCAATTAATGTCGCCATTGCGGCTTCGTCATGCAGCAGCCTTCATGTAAGTACATTGACACATCAGTGAGAAAAGAGTATCTGTTGCTAATGAGCTGTATTTTTTATTATATAGATTTATCTTACTGTTGATGCCAAGTCAGAAACAACGTTGTTAATTTGTTGTGAACAACTGAAAACTTCAAAGCGATAATGTTTTCACAGGCTCAAATATCGTGACTTACATATAACTGTGAGCCCCAGTAAGCTTGAGCAGTTCAAATTGAGCAAGCTCTGTACTGGAATCTTTAGATAATTACTCATTAAAAGTAGTTTGGTGAAAACGTTTTGTGACTTGCGTTACCGCGATATACCGTTCCAGTAGGTAAAAAAATAGACGTGAACGCATAGCGAAAGGCTAACTAAAGCCTTGAAAAGTGAAATATCACAAATCTGGGCTGAATGTGACAAACTAGGATGTGCCTTCTTTCGGCTAGTGAGCTCAGACTCAAACACTGCTTCGCTATTTTATTACTCAGCTGAAGTTTTGCATTCCTTCCTATACTATCGCATGGAGTGTTACAGATTCGAAGCGGTTATTCCGTTGATTTTTCGCATCGAAATTTCATAGCCCTTTACTTATTGATGGCATGCAGCTTGTACATGTTTTGGAGCGTAATAAAACATCTCCTGTTACTTAATTCGCTTTGTTTTGCTACAACTACTCTGCGGTGCACTTGACACAGTTTAAACAGATTGCAATAAAGTACCTCGGGCAGAGTTCAGCGATTTGATCGTCGCGATTCAGTCGCTACAAGACACGTGTTACGAGTTCAATGCATGCCGATCTTCTTGTATTTCGGTTGTGATAGTTAGCCACGACTAGTTATTAAAAAATTATTGTGGTAGTGGTATTCCTAGACAAAATCTGTTCCAAAGATATCGTTGTCGGCATCATACTCGTAGGCCTTATTGCCATCGTAAATGAGATCGGGAACTGGATATGCCTCCACCTTCATAATTAGCATCTGCAATTTAAGGTTTGCGACTAAACCGCTCTATATCAACAACTGCTATTTTGAATTTTGTGCTAATTTAGTAATAAGTACTTATAGGATTAAAATATTTTTTAAGATTTTTTAAATATTCAAATTAGCCTTATAAAAAAGCGTGGCTGACGCCACGCCCCCTTTTTCGGAGTGCGTGGCTAACGCCACGCATCTTCATCTGAAAAAATTTTTTGTTCCCCCCGGTCCGAAATTGTGCGACCGCCACTGGTATGCACTGATTTTACACAGGAACGCATAGCTTTTAAGCAAATGTTGAGTCTTGTACATCGAGTGCGCTTATACTTACTTACTTATGGTTAAACCAGTGCGTCACCTCTGCTTCGCAGAGGCTCGCACTGGCCCTACTTTCTGTATGCCTTACTCATTCCCACATAATAATGACATTGAAACTCCCGCGCTATGCAGGCTATCACGAATGATTTGTAAACAGTTACTCATTCCGAGAACTTTTTTGTGTGAGATCGGTATTTTCGCGTGGATGGAGCTTTTCCGAGAAGAATAAATGCAAATTTGAATCGGTTTCTGGAGTTTTCATGGTTTGGTAGCCACAATAACGACGATGATCACCGTGGGTTACATCTCTGTGCAAAAATCTTCTCAAATGATCAGGTAAAATCTTAGCAAATTGAACATTTACACAACTAATTGTTTTCGGCGCCATTCGTAAAGTAATGAACTTTAGTTCAATTTTTTGGGCTAAAGCCCATGGTTTGCACATTAGCTTGTTGATCGTATCCATGACTTCGCAAAAAGTGGTGGTACAGGCCCGTTTTTGCTGGCCAGAAGCCAAGTGGACCCGTTCGAAGCGCTGTTTTTGGGGGATCCACTCAGCGGATCCGCTCGTGCTTCTGCATAGCGGACTTTCATGCAGCTAGCTTGCGCCATGCAAAATTTGGGCTCCGGACGTTGGCTGGAACACGCTCCTTGAATTTCGTAACGGACAGACAGACAGACACACACACACACACACACACACAAAAAAAAAACGTAAACACCCTTAGCCCGTTATTATAAGTTATGATACTTAAATGGCCCGTCTTTACGTGGTGTGCGGATTCCAGCGCAAAAGCTTCCAACGTTCCTTGTCTCTCGCTTCAGACACCCGCGATCAT